AGACCAGGTCCCTGTTGGGGTCCTCAGTCTCCGTGGGTACCGTTGGAGCCAAGGACTCTTCCTCCAGTACTAGCAGGCCTGTGAAGTCCTGGAGTTCCAAGTACAAGAAGATGGAGCATCAAAACCCTCCACCAGTCAGGAGGGTGAGGACAGGGTACCATCGAGTTCACCCCTGTCATCAACAGCGAAGCATTTCACTCAGCCATTGGTTCCATCATGCGCCTTAATCCAGCCACCAGTACTGATGCAAGCAGCTCAGCCAGAGCAAGTAGTACCATCTGTACCAAGCAAGCAATGGTGCCTGACATCTACAATGCCTGCAGAATGCCAGATTAATCTCTACAGCAGCAGTTATGCTCAGGGCATCATGGCCCCAAGTTGTGGGGTTTCCAAGAGAGGTTCAGAACACAGTAGAGGACCTCCCTTTGATGGTCATAAGCTTTTTCTCAGAGACCACGAACAACTCCACACACATTGAAGGACTCCAGAGTTACCCTATGTTACTTGGGCATTTACACACCAATGAGCAAGACAAGTTTTAGTAGGTCACAGACTGCCAAGAGGTCACGCCCTACTCAGTTGTCCAGGTACCATAGACTCTCAGAACCGCCAGAAAGAAACACAGTTTTCAGAGGAAGTGAAATGCCCAACTGCCCTCCATGACCATCCAGGCATCATTTAAGCAGCAGTTTCGATAGGTTGGTCGAGGGTTCAAATCCTCCCACTCCTTTTCAGGACCCCTCTTGTGAGCTTCTACTGAGGCAAGAGATGGACTCTCTCCTCTGTCTAGGAGCAGTGGAATTGGTCCATTCGTCTCATAGGCTGGGATTTCTACTCAAAATATTTCCTGGTGCCAAAGAGGGACGGAGGTCAGAGGCTGATCTTGGATCTAAGACTGTTTGAACAAGTTCATAAAACCTTAAAAGTTCAGGATGGTGACTCTGGCAACTATAATTCCTTTAATGGAGGACATATATTGGTTTTCATCCCTCGACCTACAAGAGACCTACTTCCATATAATTATACACCCATTTCACAGGAAATACCTATGAGTCACCATAGGCCAAGATCTGATCCAGCACCGAATGCTTCCCTTTAGCCTATCCTCAGCCCTAGGGATGTTTTCGAAGGTCCTAGCAGTAGTGGCAGCTTATCTTTGGCAGAAAGTGATCCTAGTCTTCCTGTACCTCCAGGGCTGCTCCTTCAAGGCAGTGCTATCTTCCACCCAGATGGCCCTTGCTCTGTTCCAGGAGTTGGGCCTGCAGCTGAAAGTAAAGAAATTCATTCAGGTACTGGTACAAAGGATTCAGGTACTGGTACAAAGGTACTGGTACAAAGGATAGTTTATAGGGGCATACTGGGACTTACTGACAACCAGAGCATAACACCCTTCAGACAGATTTGTGACCTTTTCAGGCCTGGTAGAGACAATTCAGCGAAGCCCTTAGACCAGTGGTTCTCAACCTTTTTGGGCTCAGGACTCATCTGTAAATGTTTATGGCCTATCGTGACCCAGTAAATAGTCTTAAGAGTAGCAGCTGTGTTAGTCTGTATCCGCAAAAAGAAAAGGAGTACTTGTGGCACCTTAGTGACTAACAAATTTATCCGAGCATAAGTTTTCGTTAGCTACAGCTCACTTCATCGGATGGATGCAGTGGAAAATACAGTGGGGAGATTTTATATACACAGAGAACATGAAACAATGGGTGTTACCGTACACACTGTAACAAGAGTGATCAGGTGAGGTGAGCTATTACCAGCAGGAGAGAAAAAAAACCCTTTTGTAGTGATAATCAAAATGGGCCATTTCCAGCAGTTGACAAGAACGTCTGCGGAACAGTAGGGGGGGAAATAACATGGGGAAATAGTTTTACTTTGTGTAAAACACATCCACTCCCAGTCTCTATTCAAGCCTAAATTAATGGTGTCCAGTTTGCAAATTAATTCCAGTTCAGCAGTCTCTCATTGGAGTCTGTTTCTGAAGTTTTTTTTGTTGAAGAATTGCCACTTCTAGGTCTGTAATCGAGTGACCAGAGAGACTGAAGTGTTCTCCAACTGGTTTTCAAATGTTATCATTCTTGATGTCTGATTTGTGTTCATTTATTCTTTTACGTAAATAGTCTGGGGGTGGAACCCCTGGGATGATTTCAGTCAGATCCTGGTGCCTAAAGGAGTGGGGGGGCTGGGCCCTGCCTGGCACTCACCCCACAGAGGCAGCTCCTCTGCTGTGGGGCTGGCTGGGCTTGGCTCTCTGCTCTGGACATTGCAACCTCCGGGGTTGCAGCACCACTCGGGTTTGGCACTGCTCCACTGACTGGACCAAATTTGTGTGAGTTGAATTGTGACCTGACTCATGGGGTTGCGGTGCCACTCACGTGGTCATGACGGCTGGGCTAACCCTGAATGGCACTGGGACCCCAGAGGTTGCCGTGCCTGGAGTAGGGAGGCGAGCCCAGCCAGCCCCGTGGGACAGGTGTCACAGGAGCAGCCATGCGACCCTTTGGAACATTCTGCAACCCGATTTTGGGTCCCGACCCATGGGTTGAGAAACCCCGTCTTAGACCACACAATAGGGAACTGTCTTCAACTCTTGGGCCATATGATAGCTTGCACTTTTGTGACCAGTCACACAAGGCTTCACCTCCATTGCTTTAAGGGTTGGCTCAGAACAATCTACTCTCCAAGGAAGGACTCCTCAGACAGGCAGGTGACAGTCCTTTTGCAAGTAAAGAACTCCCTGGACTGGTGGAAGGAGCAACTCTATGTCTGTGTGGACATCCCTATCTGTTGCCCAACTCCATCTAACTGACTCATCCCTGTTAGGATGAGGAGCCCACTTCAACACTCTCATGGTTCAGAACAGATGGACTTTGGCTGTACAGCAGGTGTTATTAAACAGTAGGAAAACACCAACCTGCATTGCTTACCTGCAGAAATCTAAGAGATTCATCTATTGGTGCAGTTGTTGCTACCTCCAGCCTGAAATGGTTCCCTTTTCCCTCATCCTACATTTCAGATCCAGCCGGTAGGTTTTTCTATCAGCGTGGTCAAAGTACACCTGGCTGCCATATCAGCCTTTCATCCCTTGGTCAAGGGATTCTCCATTTTTAGTCACCTGGTATTGTCTAGCTTTATTACGGACCTATGGAATCTCTTCCCTCACATTAGACACTCCACCCTATCTAGGGACCTTAACCTGATTCTAAACCGCCTTACGAGACCTCCATGCAAACCAAAGGCAACCTGCTGCGTACTTCATTTATCTCTGAAGATGGCATTCTAAGTTTCCATAACGTTGGCCTGTAGGGGCAGGGAGACTGGAACCCTTTACAATGTTCTTTACGTCCACATCCTTAGTTCCAAAGGTTACATCGGATTTTCATCTTACCCAGTCTATCCATCTTCCGGTAATATTTCCAAAACCTGATAGCTCTCAGCAGAAATCCTATTTCTACACCCTGGAAGTTAGAAAGGCCTTGGCCTTCTACCTGGATAGGAATAAGCAGTTTAGTAGATGACCTAGACTCTTCATCTGCTGCGCAGATAGCTCTAAGGGGGCTTCTATCTCTGCTCAAACACTTTTCGAAATGGATATCGAGTCGTCTCTCTGCCTCTTATGAGTCTGCTGGTTTTCAGCCCTCTCAGGGCATAGGAGCAAATTCAACCAGATCACAGGAAACATCTACTGTATTTTTGAAGACTGTTCCAGTATCTGAGATATGTAAAGCCACTACTTGGACTTCAGTATGTTTTTGAAGCATTACTGCCTGCTCCATGCCATCAGATCTGATGTGGTACTTGGCTCTGTAGCACCATCTTCAGTTCTGGACTCTGTTCTGAAGCTTCCTTCTCCTCCTGGGATACTGCTCAGAAGTCAGCTGAAGTGGTGTACCCATTGGGACACTACTCAAAGAAGAAAAGATTACTCACCTGGTGCAGTAATTGAAGTTCTTTGAGATGTGTCCCACTGGGGGCTCCACTACCCACCCTCCTTCCCCTCTGCTTCAGTTGTTCCCTCGGGGACACCTGGGTAGAGAAGGAACTGAGGGTGGTTTTCCCACACGCCTGTAAATAGCCTTTGTGTTTGCTGAGGCATAGGGCGCATATGCAGGCCAAATGGACACTGCTAGCTAGAAATCTCCAGCCAAGGGCATGAGAGGCACATGCACACCTGAAGTAGAGCACTTAAAGGGACACAAATGTCGACAAACTACAGTTACTGGTCAGCGTGAGTAACATTTCCATCTTCAATCATGTGGGATAGACCTGTGGGTCAGATGCATAAAAGCTGTCCTGGGGAGGCAGGAGAGTTGTAATGTGCATCTCCCTGCACCGATGAGCATCCCTGTGTCCCAGGGAGGGTTTGACCCAAGCTCAGACTGGTAGAGTTAACATTACCACCTTCCTCAGAGTTTCCATTTGGTTGGAGAGCAGCTTTAACCAAAGCTCTTCAGATGAGAGATGCAGTGTGAGGGGAGGCATTCTGTCAACCACCCCAAGCCATGCCCCCGTCCCTGTCCTCCTATTGGGCTGTGCTGGCCGATGTGTTGCTTCCCATCACCTGAGAAGAGGAAATTGTGTTGGTTTCCCTCCACCACACCCTTCTCTCAAGATCAGCCCGTGCATTATACTTTTCCATTTCATGCCTGATCTGTCTCTTGACTGGTGATGCCTTCATACTGTAGGCATCCTGAGCACCGTGTTCCCAAACGTCCCTGTGATCATCCTGTGTGACCGATGTCTTTCTTTGTGTCAGGCAGGTTGATTCCCTGCTCAGGATGCAGAGGGAGAGGAGCCGTTTTTATTCCTTGCAATGCTGATTTATGCGGGTTGTGTGATTTTTGTGGGTTCAATGCCGGGGATCTCACAGTCTCATAAGCAGAGCTGTTCCTGCCAGGCTCCTACTGTAGTGGGGGGGGAGGGGGGAGGATAAATTAGGGGAGAAAAAAGAATGTTATTTTAATCACTCTGAAATGATGTTTCTTGCTGAATATTGTTAGAACTGGATGGGCTAAGCCAACTGAGTTTCCAAGACAACCTATCCTATCATGAAGATGACCACATATCTGTTGATTCAAGAACTACCTCTGAGAGTAGGGGTACCATGCAAGCCAAAGGCCCTGGAATGGAGGCTAGCATTGCCCATAGCCTTAGCCAACAAACCACAGAAGGGAGCTTGCAAATGGAGACGGCGTTCAGCAACCAGGGATTTGAAGGAAATGACGCAACTGACAGCTCATCAGCTTGGAGCCCTGAGGTATGGTGAATTATTCTGTATTACACACCGTGTTTCTGTTCCCTGAAGATGTCTGGAATTCTTATCCGAAATGTTAGGGAAGAAATGAAGTGAAAAATCAATTGGCACAACCCAGGATAGTAATCCCTAAGTGCATGCATGCACATACCTTGGTGTATGTTTTCCCTTTTCCTGATACTTTGCCTGCTGGAATTTTGAATAGACTTCACTAGTATTCCTTCAGAGAGGCTGTTTTATTGTCTGATTTCACACACTAATCATATCACAACCATTTCCCGCATGACAGAAGTTACTATGAATTAGCTAACAATGTTTTATCATGCTTTGAAGGAGGTAAGTGGATTTGTTACTGCTTGTGTATGTGGTGTGTGTCTGTAGGGATACAGTGTATGATGTGATGATGAAGTGAGCTGTAGCTCACGAAAGCTCATGCTCAAATAAATTGGTTAGTCTCTAAGGTGCCACAAGTACTCCTTTTCTTTTTAGTGTATGATTACTCGGTCAGATCCTTAGTTCCCCTTCTGGCTGCTTTCCATTGCTCAGGCAGCATGAAGCATCTGGAAAGCTGCCTTAAAGGGACGGCTGGGGGCTTCCCTAGCTTAGCTAGCTGTTTGTCACACTGCTCTCCATACACACAGAGCACATTTCTACAGCTGGCAGGGGCATGGCTGGGGAGGTTTACAGCCCCCTTTTCCTCTCCTGCATCCAGCATATGTCACCAGGCAGGTCTTGGCCAGACCTAAGGATTTGGCCCTTATTTCAAAGCTAATACCCACTGGCAAATATTCCAGATTCTAAGACAGCCCTTTTTGGGTTAGTTCACTACTTACCCTTCTCCTCTTTCTATATGATTAAATATGGGTTGTTCCTTTATTATAAAAAAAATTAATAATCAGGGGATTATTATTGAGCATCTGATTAATTTCTGCAAGAGTATCGAATAGCCTCCAATATTAAAAAAAATAAATAAAAAAGCACAAAAAGTCACATCTCTGAATCAAAAAGGATCATCCCTTAGCTGCACAAGTTAATCTTTTTGCCCCAGGAAAAACAGGGCTTGGCAGAAAATATTCCCTTCCTGTGAGCAAGTTGCTTCCACCCAATTGAAGAGAGTGAAAGCAGCTTCTCAGTGTATGGGCTTTTGACCTGTTCAAAGCAGACATTCACACAGAGGCAGTAAAAATAGGCAGTCATTTTGAATGCTGCACAGATCAGCTCTGCATATATGGCCTGATACACCAGAACCTCCTGCAATAACAGTCTGGACTCTTTTTTCTGCATTACTGTGAGCCATGATGATTATCTATCTGTGGATCCTGTGCCCATTTCTCTGTCTATTCCGTGTTCATCCTGGTGCACAAGTGCTGCGGAATCTTGAGTGTCCTCTTTTCATTTCTATTTTGAATGTGCCTCTCAATCTGCCCCAGGTGCATGTATATTAACAACATGAACAGCGCATAGAGAATTACAGAGTTCAGATACACCTGGATCCTGATTTGTTTGCTGTGAGTAGCTTCTTATCTGACTGCATTGTGTGGCTTAATGGAAGATAATTTTTGTTTGAGTGAACTAAATGTTCTGACATTCCAGAGATACCCAAACATTGCTGTGCTACTTTCAAACAGGCCTCTGTTTGTAGGCAAACTCTGTAATGTTGTGCGTCTGCGGTGCATACTCAAAGGGCATTTCAAGGCTGCTCCCATAATTACCTGCTTTGTGAGATTTATTTATTTTTCTGGCAGGAATGTGTATTTTACATATATATACACTCTGTCCTGTACTCATGATCTGTTAAAAAAAGACACACTATACTGAGAGGGGTATTTGTCTTAAATCCGTGTAGATTGATACAGTTTAAGGAGAGAAGGGACCATCAAATTATCTAGCCTGACCTGTCTGTCACAGGCCCTATAATTTCCCCCACTTTCTCCTGTATTGAGCCCGATACATCAGTACACCTTACTGTAAAAGAAAAACGTTTATTTCATGTGGAAATACTTAACTCCACACAGCACTTGGATTTCAGTGCAGTTGCTTGGATAGTCAGTACATTTACAGAATATTTATGGCCCCCCCATAAGCCGTGGAATGGGAATTTTACCAGTGACTTTATGAGGAGCAGGACTAAGCTTCTGCAAGCAGCCTCTGCCATGTAGGAAACTTGAACATGAATAGGTTCCAGACATCAGAGAATTCTTTGCAAGTGCCAGCTGGCTGTTGACTTTGTGCTCCGCCGCCAGCACAAATCATCACTAAAGGTAGTAGAGCCAGCCATGGAAGGGTAAACGCCACTGGAGAACCATTTTCTGGTGCCAGAGAGTTGATGGAGCTTCTGCCACTTCTCCCACCTTCTTAGGGCCAGCGTGAGGGACATAGCCAAAACTAAGAGAGCTTGGTCGAGACAGCCTGATATCCAACTCTTCAATGGCTACTGTATTAGTATTTGGTGCGGGGACTGGTAGTTGGCATGATTTAGAGCAGGCTCTAAGTCATGCCAAGAGGCTCGACTGGCACAGCCAGCCAGGGATGGTGGAAGTACAAAGGCCATCTTTGCATACTTTATCCTACAGGGCTGTGCATCATCCACAAAACTGCTGCTTTCCAGCTCAAGTACAAGTAGAGGCAATAAGTAGGTGCACATAAAGTTACACACTAAATGTAGTCCCCCATGCTGAATGTTAGCAAGCCACAAACCCATTGTGATCCCACTTCCTGAATGGCAAATGCACATGGTAAAAAATGGGAATGAGCATGTATGGGGAGAAACCGGCTGAAGTGCAATCTTTCTCATACTTGCTCCTTAAGCCTTACTCCAGCCATTTGGTAGAAGTAGTTTGACAGCCACGCAGCGTCACTCACATGATCGGGTTCTCCGGAACAACCTGTCCTGCATTGCACTTACGCGTGCAAAGTCCTGTGTCTGTGGTGTTCTGGAACAAGCCATTTGTATGTGTTCATTAGGTGTCATTCTTCTCTGGCTAGCCTTAGCAAGAATTCTGCATGGACACAAGGGGGCCAGTTTTTCACTGCATTTCTCTCTCTCTCTTAAACTTGTATTTGCATGCACCAGTCAGGTAACTGCAAACTACCGGAACCAGCCTATGTGAAAGTGGAAATGTGGGATTTTGCACTTATACATTTAGGAGCCTAAATGTTTGTCAGAGTGATGGGAGGTAGTTGAAAATTTGGCTTTGTTGGATAAATAGACCCCATTAGTGCTTCTTAAGGGAATCACTATTATTGCTCCTAATCTATGTTGTAATTAGATCCACATATTGAAAAGAAATGTTAGTTTAAAAACAAAAGATAAAGGCTTGAAATTGCCCTCCTCGGTAGTTTGCAGTTACCAGCAATGATTCACCTTCTGAGTATTAACTGGAAATCTTGTCCTAGTACAGTGTATACACATGTTTAAATACAAATGATGGATTGTTATAGCAACCCCTTTATCACATGAAACACATTCTATCTCTGAGATAAAAAGCACCTTGAAACAGCAACTCGCACACCCCCATCAACAGGTGAAGTGAGCAACAGTGGGCTTTTTCATCTTGTTTAATCAAATAAATGTTTTAAAGAAGCTGAAAGAAAAGGTAATTTGACAATTGTTTTACACACGTGTTGCTTGTATGTTTTGAGTTCTCATCATGAAAATATGAGGGTTCAATGTGAAGAGGTTAGAGGCACTTCAGAGGGAGACGCACAGTGGAAGATGAGCAAAGGAGTGTTTGATTCAAAGATTCCAAAGCGAGAAAGGACCATTGTGATCATCTAATCTGATCTGTATAACACAGGCCAAAAAAAAAAACCTTCCCCCAAATAATTCCTCGAGCAGATCTTTCAGAAAAACATCCAGTCTTGATTTAAAAATTGCCAGTGTTGGAGAATCCACCATGACCCTTAGTAAATTGTTCCAATGGTTAATTACCCTTATGCCTTATTTCCAGTCTGAATTCGTCTAGCTTCAACTTTCAACCACTGGAACATGTTATACCTTCCTCTGCTAGATGGAAGAGCCCATTGTTAAATATTTGTTCCCCATGTAGATACTTACAGACTGTAACCCGTAATCTTCTCTTTGTTAAACTAAATAGATGGAGCTCTTTGAGTCTGTCACCATAAGGCATGTTGTCTAATCCTGTAATCATTCTTGTCACTCTTTTCTGAACCCTTTCTAATTTATCAGCATCCTTCTTGAATTGTGAGCACCAGCACTGGGCACAGTATTCCAGGAGCAGTCATACCAGTGCCAAATACAGAGGTAAAATAACCTCTCTACTCATTCTTGAGATTCCCCTGTTTATGCATCCCAGGACTGCATTGGTTTTTTTGGCCACTTTGTCACCCTGGGAGCTCATGTTCAACGGGTTATCCACCATGACCCCCCAAATCTTTTTCGGAGGCATTGCTTCCCAGAATATGGTCCCCCAGTCTCTAAATATGGCCTAAGTTCTGTGTTCCTAGATGTATACATATCTACATTTAGCCATATCAAAAGGCATATTGTTTGCTTGCACCCAGTTTACCAAGCGATCTAGCTCACTGTCAGTGACCTGTCCTCTGCGTTATTTACCACTCCCCCAATCTGATGTGACTCTTTTTCTGTATCACTATTTCTACTGCTCTTGCCGCAAGCTAATTCAGAACAACAGCCCACCACTCAGTTGTGAATGAGATGCAGTGCAGAATCCAGCAGTTAACCAGCATTGGCCCCTCAAGAGAATAAAAGGGGCATTTAGATGGTTTGTTTTGCTAAATGACTGCCTGCTCTCAAAATACGAGGTGAGCAGAATAAAAACACCACAAAGTGTGGCCCAACTCCTGTATGTTCACATGACCATATAACATTCTCAAGGTGGATACTGTATTCACATTTGGGGTATGTCTACACTGCATCTGGGAGGGAGCCCTCCCAGCCTGGGTCGACAGAATAACAACTATGTAGACGGTGCAGCTTGGGCTGGGGCTTGGCTCTCAAACCTTGAAGTGGGGGGCTAGTGCACAAGCCCATCAACTGTAGCTGGGAGGCTCAGTATCAGATGCAGTGTGGATGTACGCAGTCGGGGGTAGCCTATTTGGAAGATGCACATAAGGATGGGTGATGTCTGTATTCTTTTTGCAAATGGTGCTTTGCTCAGGATATTTCTTCACTATTAAAGAGACCCACAGTCCATCTAGGGATTGAGTTGATGAGGCTATAATAATAATAATAATAATTAATACCTAGTTCTTATATAGCACTTTTCATTGGTAGATGCCAACATACCTTGTATTTGGTCTCTGTCATGTGTGCCGGTTATCCTATCTCGAATGATCTTTGAGGTGTTTGATTTAATAGGGCCTGTGTAAGAAAATGCTTTTTTATATATACACCTTTATTTACTCTCTCCATGGCAGGAACATGATGGAGGGAATAGTCTTCCAGCTCATCACAGTGCCCATGAACCCATTTCTAAATGTGGTGACCTAGACGTCATCTTCGATTATAAGGCCTCAAGCCAAAAGCTGCTGGTAACTATCCTGGAAGCTAAGGATATCCCAGACAAAGACCGCAGTGGTGTGAACACCTGGCAAGTTCACACAGTCCTGATGCCCAGCAAGAAACAGCGGGGAAAGACGAGCATTCAGAAAGGACCCATCCCAGTGTTCAAAGACAAAATGACCTTTAATAAGCTGGAGCCAGAGAAGCTGAATAGCTACGCACTCAGGTTCCGTCTCTATGCAGTGCGCAAAATGATCCGGGAACAGATGATGGGGGAGCAACTGTTTTATCTGAGGAGCCTAAACCAGGAGAGGGAAGTGAAGGTGACACTGGTTTTGGAGCCACGGAGCGATATGAGCGTAAGTCTATTAAACAATTCACTGTATCATTGGCGGAGGTGGAGGGGTACAGCTGACTTGACTAATGCACCAACTTCTTCATTAAGGATTCTTAAACATGGTGCCGGCCCATTTCCTAGCACCACTATTCAGATCTCAGTTTTCATCCTGGTCTCAAGCGAGGAATGTCAGCACTAGTTAGAGAAAGCTCAGTGCTCAGCGTCCATATTACCCGACGCATTCACTAATGCTCCCTTTTAGACATTTCAGTAGGATTGAAAGGGAGCAGGGTGCATGTTTTTTAAAGTGGTTGTTTGCCAGAAGCTGGGAATGGGCGACAGGAGATGGATCACTTGATGATTTTCTGTTCATTCCCTGTGGGGCACCTGATATTGGCCACTGTTGGAAGACAGGATGCTGGGCTAGATGGACCTTTGGTCTGACCGAGTATGGCCGTTCTTATGTTCTTTCATAAGAATGACTTTCCACCTTTTATGCATTCAGGGACCAGATGTTTCCATGTAATCTATTGTGTTCTGAGGTTAGAGAGCCAAGTTTTCAAAATTAGGCACACAAGTTCCATCCACAAAAGATGTGTTCATGGGCACAGACTGGTAACTGCTCATAAAATATGCAGTAGAACCCACAAAAAGGTCCATTGCCCAAACAACCAACCTTCCATTTTGCATCCATAATTACCCATTTGCATCTACGCATGCATGTTTTCTACCAGTTGGGCTCTTTATTTGGCCTGAATATTTTAAGCAGCCTCTTGTACATTCCAGAGAACTGCCCAGTTTTCAGAGTCCTATGTATAGACCGTGAACATCACCACAAGAGCATTCTAGCTAGGGGTTTTCCAAGAAGTCTGAGGAAGTTTGGTGCCTTGCTTTTGTAGGATTTGGTCACTTTGCTCCTTTAATCTCCTTGGAAAATCCCAATTTCCAATCCCAGAGTAGATCATCTGTGATATCAGAGTAGCAGGATAATTGCTGTGCCATCAGGTTGATTTTGAAACTATAGCTATTAAATTTTCAAACATACTGTTTTGTTCTGTTTTTTCTTTTTAAAGGAGGCATGTCTTGTACTAATATTCAATCCTCTGGTAAAAAGAAAAATACTAACAAGTATTAAAACAGGCTACCCTTTCCTCTAAGGTCTTGTCTGCAAAGAGGCAGGGAAAAGGAGGGAATTGAGCAGAATAATTATTCCAGAAAAACGTCACTCACATTCCAGAATAATGTCCATATTGGGAGCTATTCCAGAATAGCTGTTGCAAAAAAGCTTATTTTGCAATAGCTATGCTGGACAATTTCCCTGTGTAGACAAGGCTTAAGACTTTTCACCATATAAAAGAAACTCCGTATGAGATTGTGCATACAAAATGAATAATAAACAATGCATTTGCAGGGAGAGGAGAGAATTGAACATGATGGTAACTAGGAAGAAAGCAAGAAAATATACAGCAAGTGACATAAAAGATAGAAGATTGTGCTAGACGCATTCCATCAGAAAGTCATTTTCAGGGAAATTTACTCGACTTTTGATGTACTGGAGCATATGTTTATCTCAAAAGCTTTGATTTACACTAGTAATAACACATTAGACAGGGCTTCTGGCCTCTAGAGAGAGAGTATTGAAAGATGTGTTTCTGCAAAGTGATGCTGGAGACTTGTTCCTGCAGTTCTGTCTTCTACCCCATTGTTATTCATGCAGATGATTCTTAGTCATTGGCAACTCCAAGAAGAACATCACAATTCTACCCAATTAGGCCCCAAGGTATACATTAAAGGGGGAGCTGTGTTGAGCATTCCACTGGGATTCTCTTTGTTCTTTCCCTGCAGAGCGGAGACTCTCAGATCAGTCTGTCGGCAACCTCTCACAGCGATAGCGCTTCTTCAACACAGTCCCTGTCGCACGGAGGCATACCAGAGCTGCTGGTGGGACTGTCGTACAATGCTACTACCGGACGGTTGTCAGTAGAGATGATCAAAGGCAGCCATTTCCGCAACCTTGCTATTAACAGGCCGCCCGGTAAGTGAAATCTCTCGTAATGGCACACCTATTCGACAGAGCCACTGAGCCACAACCTGGTTTTATTTTCTTGATACAGTTTTTGCCACATCAAGCTATCCAATTAAATTATTTCCTAATTGAGTCTCTGCACATTTGAATTTTACATTTAATAGTGGAATAAAAAGTATTATTCCAAATGCATGTGCTGGTAAATTTGCCTGTGCATTTTGAATAAAATATCTATCTGTGGTACTGATGAGGCTGCCATTACCATAGTATCAGAGCGCCTCACAAGATCTAATGTATTTATCCCAGTGAGGCAAAGAAGTGGTATTATCCTTATTTTATAGAGAGGAACTGAGGCATGGAGCCACTAAGCGATCAGCCCAAGGCCACACAGGAAGTCTGTGGGAAAGCAGGGCCTTGAACCCAGGTCTTTGGACCAGCCATCCTCTCTAATATAAAAAATAAAATCGGAGCCAAGAGTACATATTTAATGCTTTAATTGTGTCTAGTGCTCGTGAAGCGTGACACATTAACAGCGATGCTGACCAAAGTCTGCGCTTTATTCACTGTGCTGGTGTAGGACAAGCCGTGGTAGTCAGCTTTGCTGCCAATGTGCCTCATTCAAGGCTAGAAGGTACCGCCTCTAGGGGTGAGTTCAAACTTCATGGCCCTTCAGTCTTTGGCCCGTCATCTCATCTGAGAACTAGCGTCAATTGAGGAGGTATTTTTGGTGATGTGGTTACTTGCCCATTGAGAACTGGATGTGGGCCATTTCACATAAGCCACCAGACATCTACCTGATGGCAACAACATTTGGTCACTGTGAACCTGGGCTTGATTTGAGCTGGGGATCTATAAATGAAGACTCTTTGGGCTTGAACCTGCAGGGTGCTGTGCACCTTTGGCTCTGATCCACCAAAGCATTTTAGCACACCCTTAAATGCAAGCATGTGAGTAGTTCCATTGAAGTACTTAATTGCTTTGCTAGATTGTGGCCAGAGTGCTCAGAACCTTGCAGGATCAAGCCCGGTATCCAATTACTTAATACCCGTAGCTAGCCAGACCCTCAAGAAATAAGATTTTCTTAGAATTTCAATGAAAATCTTCAAATATGTTGTGGTCACAGGTCTAGCTGCCCCTTTCTGGTCTCTGAGTGCCCCCAACTCAGGTCTTGGCCCTCATGCTCTTTCCTGCTTCAGGCTAGGATCATGCAGTTCTTCAACTCTTAGACCAGGACCTCGGCTATACTACCCTGTGTATGAAACAGTCTCATTCTGCAGTTCCAGCTGGTTTCGGGCACCTGTGGTTCTTCCCTTCAAGAGCCAGTGACCAGTGGTATTATAGGAAACAAAACAGCCTTCTTAAAACCATGATTTATTTATCAATGGGAACAAAGAGTAAGAGAAAAAGGATTTTAAAACAACAAAGAGTCTGCACATTTGTCTATCTTGCCTTGAGTCCTATCCTCCCACAAAGCCTCAGCAAGCCTAGCCTCCCCACACACACACCCAGCAGGCCCCTGTGTCTGTCTACTTCCTCTGTAGCCCTCCATCCCGCTGAAGGTATTGCAGAGTTTACTTGGGTGACTGGCATCCAGATTAGCCTCGCCCGGGTGTGAGTAGCCGCACTGCAAGGCCATCCCCAAGTTACTGCATCCTCACTGGTGCTACACTCGTGTGTGTGTGCGGGTGGGGGGGGGGGCTGGGACTTCCAGGGACATATCCCATGGTTCTTTGTGCTGCAATAAGCTGAGCCGTTTTGTGGTTTGTTCCCAGTGCATTGTGGCAGAATGTGTCTGTCCTTCTGGATGCCCGGGGGGAATTGTGGGAAGGCATTGGAGGGCTGTCATCATTCACATGGTTTAGCCTGCATCTTCACTGCAAACTGGACAGCTTCCATCCCAGGTTCTAACCCCACTCCCAGCCGGTCCAGGTATCCAAAGCTTACAACATTTCCAAACCTGGGATCAGAGGTTTTTCTGTGTGGATGGTAGTGGGGGTTGGCCTAAAACTTGGGTGAGAGCCTTGGTTAACTGTGCAATGAAGCAAAAAGAAAAGGAGTACTTGTGGCACCTGAGAGACTAACCAATTTATTTGAGCATGAGCTTTCGTGAGCTACAGCTCACTTCATCGGATGCATACTGTGGAAAGTGTAGAAGATCTTTTATACACACAAAGCATGAAAAAATACCTCCCCCCACCCCACTCTCCTGATGGCAATAGCTTATCTAAAGTGATCACTGTCCTTACAATGTGTATGATAATCAAGTTGGGCCATTTCCAGCACAAATCCAGGGTTTAACAAGAATGTCCTAAACCACCCCCCCCCCAAGACGTTCTTGTTAAACCCTTGATTTGTGCTGGAAATGGCCTACCTTGATTATCATACACATTGTAAGGAGAGGTTTCAGAGGAGAGTGGTCACTTTAGATAAGCTATTACTAGCAGGAGAGTGGGTTTGTGTGTGGGGGTGTGTGTGTGAGAAAACCTGGATTTGTGCTGGAAATGGCCCAACTTGATTATCATACACATTGTAAGGACAGTGATCACTTTAGATAAGCTATTGCCATCAGGAGAGTGGGGTGGGGGGAGGTATTTTTTCATGCTTTGTGTGTATAAAAGATCTTCTACGCTTTCCACAGTATGCATCCGATGAAGTGAGCTGTAGCTCACGAAAGCTCATGCTCAAATAAATTGGTTAGTCTCTAAGGTGCCACAAGTACTCCGTTTCTTTTTGCGAATACAGACTAACACGGCTGTTACTCTGAAACCTGTGCAATGAAGACATACCTGCAAAGATATTGTATTAAAACCTGCCCAAGTTCTTTGTTCTCATGTTTGCAGGGTTCTGATTATTGCTGGTTAAAACAGTTTTGTAGGCTGATTGGAGACTCTGACAGTGTCAGCAAAGCAAATAAGTCTGGCAGTGTCCCTTAGCACTTAAGTATTTGCTGATAAGTGGCTATCTTGAGCCTTTCTCCTACTTCTTGCCTGTATCCAGACAGCTCACTATTGAATTAAATCAATATAGTCATACAATAAACACCATCCCTGTGGCCAGGCCAGCATACAATATTCATAATTTACTGCAGGGAAGTTCCATATCTGTCACAATATGCTTCCCCATCCAAAATCACATCATTATTTTCTGTTCTATACTGTACTTGCATGCCTGGAAAATTACTGGTAATGTGATGTGAGGGAAAAACCTATCAAAAAGAGAGCAAAAGGGGTTGGAAAAAGGGAACACTTGGCTCCAAACCCCATGCTAGAAACTGCAGTCATCACCACTGCTGGCACTCCAGTGAAGTAGTATGAGATGCAGGCAGCTGCTCTGATTAGGGTGCTGTTCTTTGGATAAGATATTAAACCAAGCCTCCTTTTCCAGGTAGAAACTAAAAATCCCATCTTGTTTTTGAAGAGCAGGGAGAGAGCCGTAGAATCCTGGCCAGTATTGCTTCTCTCAGTTAAACGTGTTCTGGGGTCCAGTGCTGAGAGTGCTGTTTTTGAAAGGCGTAACAGGAGCTTCCAGCATAATGGGGCTTTGTGAAGGGCTTTGGGACAGCTAACGTAAAAGGCAGTGGAAAACCAAACTGCTATGCAATGCGCACTAGACATGCGAGAAGACATTGAGAGAGAGCATGGAGTGCAGGAGTAACCTCCCATGTCATAGCCCCTGCCAGCTTAGTAGCTGTCGAAAGAAGTGTAATGTTTACTCTCCAGATGGCGTTGGGCAGATGCTCAGGGGAGGCAGCAGGAGGGAAAGAATCTTTCCCACCCCTCTACGTGCACACAGACTGCATGATAGCTGCAGAGCTATTCTATGGATACTACTGCAGTTCAGTGCTTCATGTGTAATGAAAGAAGTGCCGGGGCTCAAGCAATTTTTTTACTTTCATAACTGATGCGGCAAGCCCAGAGGTGCCAGGGCTACGAACTGCCAAGCCCGGAGGTGCCGGGGCTCAGCACTGGCACAAATTAAGCACTGCTGTAGTCCAATGGCTTTAGTTTCCTCTGCCGCCTATTAGTCAACCCACATCCACCCACCGCCTTCACCAGAGTGTAGGGGAAACAGTAGGAGGAGCTACACAGCAGTGAATCTTCTAGTCCAACCCTACCATGCTCTGTCCTCACTCCAACCCGGCTCTCTGCCCCACTGAGGGCCCTCCATAACTGAGCTCCATGCCTCATGTGGCATGCATGCCCCCTACACGGCTCCCCGAATCCACAGTGGTTCTGGTGCCTGGGGAGGCCTCCACACCTACAGAGGCAGGGGCACTACATTTGGACCTCAGTGATTTAGAGGGCAGCATCTTGGAGTCTGCAAAAGCTGCAAGAGACAGTTTGTTGAACAAGGAAAGAATGGTTTCTCCCCCCCGGATTTATCTTGTGCATCACAAAACCTTCAAAACAAAATGTTGTTGAGCGCTGAACTGAGTCAGTTAAATATTGCAGCCGCCCTTATTTATCCTTCAAAAATGACAGTGATCCATCAACGTTAATTTTTTTTTAAATCTCAACATTATGATGCATGTGAGCAGTTTTTTTGCTGCTTGAATTTCTGACACAGCATCTCCTAAGAAGGACTCAGAAGTGGCATTTAAAAGTAGTTTGGTCCAGGCTAGAACTTCAGGAATTGTTCACCTGGACCTGCCGGGCTGTAGGCGTGAGTCTGCAGTCGTTACTCATGTTAGTAGTTCCATTAACTTCACTGGGCACCCTGGGAATACAAACCAAAGGAAGGGCTGCAGCATCCGGCCCTAAGTGATCCATGTGTATCTACCTATTGTTACTGGCAAGGCAAAGAGAGGGCTGGCACAGTCCCAAGGAGTTTGTTTGGATGGCTAATGGGCTGGTGGTGTCAGGGAGCTGTCGTACCTCATCCCCCCAGCGCAACGTCTCTCTCTTGCTGAAGCAGGGATTTAACAAGGTGACTCACAGTCCCAGGCACCGCGAGAAAGTGTCACACAAGTGTTTTTTCTGTAGTATGTCCCTTTTTCCGTGATGACCCTC